CTGTCCCCCTTCCCAGTCTCGCCCCAGAGAGCCATAGGTTCCGCCGTCCATGCTGCGATTCGACCTCCAACCTGAATCTTTCATGTCAGTTCTTGGAGAGGGTAGCTGTATTTGTGAAATAGATTCCGTACTATTTCACCAAAATACAGTCCATAGGGCTTCTCGCTAGCCGTTATCCTGTCAAGCACACACCACTCCCTCACTTACTGCTGTATGGAGAAGCATCACAGCGTGGTCGATATATGTATTCAATAGTTATTTGCTTGTATATACGCGACTGCATGGGTTATAACGACTTGTTAATTATAAATGACCTATATTAAGTATAAGCTAATAAAATATAACATGTCGTAACTCTTCACGTAAAATTCTGAAGTAACCAATCGCTGATGTATATTGCATGTTAAGTATATTTACAGAGTTTCCTGAATAATTATCTTTACTGAGAACAACAATCCTCGGCAACATCTCTTATCTTTCATTTCCTCGTTCTATTATTCCTTGGTGCATGTGCCATCCAATGAAAAATGTACCGTTAGACACTTTCCGTCCGCGTGTGCCTATAACTCTGTAACTTACCTCGCTTATTATCTTGGGCTCCGTCCAAATACGACTTTGATGCCTTTCACTCTTCTGAGTGATTCATGCTCAAAGATTTAAATAGGGGCTTCCGATACTCCTACACGGTTCATATCTTCCAAGGTGATTAGCCATGCCTTACTGCACTGTACAGGAAACGTCATGAATAAACTTCTGATCTCATCCAGCGTATTGTCTGTCCTCCCGTGTCTGCATGCGACTCGCACCACGCTATACGGCAACATCAACTCTGTAATCACCTACCGAATCGCAGCAATGTAAGATCGAGCTCGCCAACTGAGATGCCACCAGCATTGCGTAACCATCCTTAAGACAAGATACTCACGAGCATCACAAAAAAAAACATAACGACCCTGAGTAAGATTCGTATTCGGAAGCCATTTATACACACCGTTTACGCATGCGCCGTGCAACAATCAACTCAGTGGAACAGCTACAAGAAGCCCACGCCGATCCGCGATACGCATCCACTACTCTCGAACGCCTGGGAGTAGATAGATACCTAGATACAGCGAGAAATGCCTCTACACTCTCGTGTGGTGTAAGAACTACGCTCCAGAGAACTGTTCTGTGGTAAAAGCAGAGTAATTACACGATCAAAAAAATCCCCACATTATCTCTCGACTTTGATGCTATCCTTGGGCTTAATAATTTTAACAGAGATACCCTAATGCTTACACACAAGAACACTCCCAGTGATCTAATCTATAATCTGCAGGGTATATATGTGATTTTCAACTTTGAGTTATTAACTTGCCATCCTTTTGCTGACTAACTGGAAAGCAAAATCATCGCCGATAGGACTGCACTACTTTTCGCTCAATGAACTTTCCCATAGCAGTCGCGACAGTTAAACTTTCATGAACTTCGCCATTTAAACTACTTGCTACCATGCATATTACTTTTTAGATCCTCACTACAATTCTTAAAGCCCACGAACTATACAACTCAGTCACGAGTATAGATGGATAATCAGATTAGATAAATCAGAGACCTTTCCTCGATCTCGCATATCTCCTGGCATAAAACCCAGGATTAACTTGATAATTTTATTCTTGTTTGCACTCAGCTATCGCGCAGGCATTGCCTTTATATACCAAAAAGGTTATGATGGGATGTCCGATGGAGATAACACGAAATGCTTTGAGAGTCCCTTACAAACAGGATGTAGCAGGGAGGTCGAACATGCCGATCCCTTCCCAGTGGAGTAACGCCCACTTGCCAGGGAACTCTGAATCAGTGGTTCAGCTCTCGCGCCCGAAGAGCGTGACATAATGGACTGACGGACAATTTTCCAGACAGTGTGAAGGCCTAAGGATACCAGACATGCACCGTAAGGTGGTGAGAGGTAAAGATCACCATGCGGACTTAAAAACCTATGGTGACCTCGAAGTGCTTACACATTGAGTGTGGTTCGTCAATGATGACACTAACATTAGATCATAAATAGTATGCACTCTTAGCAATATGAACACACTTTTATGATAATATTCAAAGCAGAACGGTACTATGCTCCATACATACTAACACTTCGGTGTTGCGCTTATCTGCCAAGGTCCTATCTGCTTGTGAGCCCGGTAATCGATACTCTCATCTACGTATATAAGACCGCTTACTCTACCCATACTTTCATCACCCTAAGATAACGATAATCATGCTTACTGCTCTCACTGTACCTGTCTACCTTCAACTCCAACACACCTGCTGCGATCTCCATACACGCTCGCTTGTGCAGACCAACCTAATGCAGTTCATAATAACTCTCGACAAGTCCAGCTCCGTATCCAAATCACGATAACCGTATCAAACTTAATATAATATTCGAGCTCTCACTAACGCACCTATACAAGCCACCTTTTGCACCATGGCATCCAGCATAGCAGATGAACCAGAAGACTACTGATAACATATCCCCACATATCTCTGATACTAGCACTGAGTGGTCGCATACAGATCCGTGCTGCTTACAGTGGCCGCCCCAATCGCGTCAGTTCAATGCCCAGACATGCCCGCGTACGCAGAGATCAGCGTGCGTCAAAACTCGGAGTAAACACACGTGTCTCGCTACATGAAGTGGACCTGAGGTCCTCCGCCCGGCGGCAGCTCGATCCAAACCTGCACGAACCGGCGATCGCTGCATGACTTAGCCACCGCGAGATTCGTCTCCTAAACACCCACGGTATAGGCTCCGGCGGCAGTCCGAAGCCTCCCTCCGATATTCTCGCACCGGCTCGCTCAATCCATAAGCTACACTCGACCCCACGACGAATCCCACTCTCTTGCCTCCAATTCACTATCGACCCGTGGCTTCACAGACGCGGTTCCCACCCCATGAACAATCTCGAGCCACTACCTGATCGTAGTGTGTCCGCATCGCTTGACCACTGACCGTCCTCGCGCTCGCTCGCTCGCTGCTCGTGCTGTCTGCTCGCAAGGCATTGACATAGGCACTATGCTAAGTCAGAACTGCCTGATGTACCTCATCCCTCTGGTTATCGCGGTCCGACTAGGCCACCGATTGTGGCCTGTGCCTGTCCTATGTACCAGTCGTAAGCGTCGTTGCTCGTAATGTTTGTGCTGGCTCAGATTCACGCAGTGATGTCTCGCTGTCTGTGTGCGTGTCTAACTCTGCTCGCGATAATGTGTGTGTAAGATATATGATATACATTCTAGTACACCTTACGTAAATTATTACGCCAATATGCCATTACCACTACTATCCTACTCGCGAGATACAATTAATATGGATATGGTAGTTGGTGCCCAAAGACCCGCCTGTACGTAGTCAGACTACGCGCTCTTAGTCTGCTAAGTCCTGTGCGTATGATACAATCGTACTCAACGAACTACATGCGTCTGCGTACATGACTCCGTACATATCCACGGCATTACAGGCTACCCGACCTCCACTCGTGCACTGAGATCGCCCTTCGAGACCACAGGTGCAACAGAACGTCATCTCTCCTCTCCCCGGTCGTCCACGCGACAACGCCGCACTACCTATCCGCTCCGTACGCACTCACACACGCAAAACCCAAATGCACAACCGCGGGAGGACTTACAGTATGGCATTTCACAAGCGACGCGAGATCTGCTCGGCCGCAACAAATGCCTCTCGACACATGCACACAAGATCAATCATAATGAGGCGGAAAATTGACTTAGTCATTCGTCTACGCGGCATGAACACTAATTCACACCAATGACGATGGCCTTCACCTCTGTGAAGCTGAACAGACCACCTGACTCAGAACTGATACACACAGAACATGGTATCCTCAATCTCACTCAGCGCCCTATCGTGTCATTCGGAGACACACAGCTCCGATCTCTTGGCTCAGCACCGACCATTGCATTATATGCAACACTCAGCATAAACCAGACACTTCATGACACAGCCACTAGAGACACTGAGACAGTACAGTGAGAAGTAGCTGTGCGCGATGGAGGATGCACAAAGACTAACTACACGAACCATTTACTCGAGCATTACTTACACCTGTTAACATACGCGTGCGTGTGCTCACTTATTACGAAACACCTTATAGTAGAGATGATCGGGAAACACTGCGTACTCCTAAACAGTTGGAGCATGGGGAACATACACAGCAGTGGGCTTGTCATCCTGCTAGCCTCTGCAAGCACTCTAAAGAAACAGATTACCAATAGACAGGTGTTGATTCCTGTCCATTCCACGTGACGCCATTCCACACCATAAAAATGCTTGTGAGAGTGGGTGAGTATTACACTTTTTAAGTTATTATATTTTTCTTTATCCTTATTTCCGTCTCCTTACTCAAACCTCTATGTCACTGCACTCCCTCATAAACCAGCTCGAAAAAACGACAATAAGGGTATTCTCATCTATGACACCAACGTTCAAAGGAACATTACTCGCAATTCAACTCAAATCGAACCATACTCCCTGAAAATGGGTACCGTATCGACACTCTAGCCGCTCCGACAATGCGAATCAGTGCCGGCATACATGGCACGTTATTGTAATCAACTACGTCTTACTAACACACGTTCACACTAGTGGACTCTACTAAAAGTTCTAGGGTGAGCTAGCATACACAGTAGTTTTCTCCGCTAAAGTTGTGTCTGAAGTCGCAGGGCTGGCGGCTCTAGCATCTACGGGGGATGGGAGGGTGGGGTGGGGGTGGCCCTCAGAATCAGCATACACAAACAAGTTCCCTACCAGTGGCCTGCACATGAGCTTCCAACAAACAAAACCTGGAATGTACAAAGGAAGTTGGTTTGAATCCAGTCAAATAAATCTTGGAGTATCGTGCTTTGAAATAGAGGTTGCTTCAAAATAAGTTCGGATGATCATTATTTTTCTCTTTTCTTCAACTGGATATTTCTCCTCTTTTAATATTATTTCTTTTCCTTTTCAG